GACGAGTCTCGTTTTCACCTCAGCCACAGCGATGGGCGGATTCGAGTGTACCGACGTCAATCATTGAATCATGGAAGAAGGTCGGTTCGAGGGCGGCAGCGTTATGGTATGGGGTGGGATTACAGCAAGACAGGGGACCGTTCGATAATGGTAGAGGGAAATCTCAATTGACAGCGCTACCGCGACGAGATCATCGGCCCTGTTGTTTTAACGTTTTTGCGTCGTCATGGCCCAGACATTACCTTTCAACATGACAACGCCCGGCCTCATATTGCTCGACTTGTTCAGGATTCACTTCAACAAAACAACGTAGATGTCATCCCCTGGCCGGCTCGCTAAGCTGATCTCTCACCAATCGAGCACATGTGGGATGAGATGGATCGGCGCCCTCGACGTCAACCTCGTGTTCCATAGACACTCCAGGAACTTCGAAACATGCTCCAGCGGATTTGGACAGATATCCCACAGGACTTTTTGCGACGCCTGCTCCATTCCATGAGCCGAAGATATGTTGCTTGCATCGCAACCAGAGGTGGACACACACGCTATGGATGTGTAAATTGACATTTTGGCATGTTCATGTATTTTATGAAATCACGCATTTTCTGAAGTCAGTATGGCAAATTAAACCATTTGAACACGTACAGGAGTCTTTTATCTGTTGCAAACCGAAATTGTTTCAGATTTGGTAAAAACAACAACATAACTTTGCAATAAATCTTATTCAATGTCACGAGAACTTTTGTTGTTCAGTATATAAGAATGGGTGTTGAAGTGTTCAATATCAGATTTGTAAGATAATAAAGAATGTTGTAAATAGTCTATTCCTTTCAACAAGCTAGAATCACTCTGGATAGAGGAGATTGCTTGATAAATACAGATGCAAGCAAACAAAATGTAATGTGATAATGCACAAGATGGTACAATTCAAAGATGTGAAATTAATGAAGTCTTGAGCTGTTTGTGTGTTTATTTTGCAGTCCGTTACTTTGTTGTGAATAGCAGATTTGCATTCATTGTCATTGTTGAGAAATGTCAAGCCCAGGTCTTAGTTTAATCTCACCCGTATGACGGTACTTATCCCACAGCCGAGAAATTACGCTTTCTGATAAACCAAACATTCGGGCAATTTTGGATATTGACATTACCCTCTATCGTATCCACAATTCAGCATTTTGTCTGTTCATGGGTTAGATTGCGTCTTCATAACTTATGGTTGTCATAATAAGCGACTAACGGGGTCTGGTGTTCAGGCTGGCTGACACGGTTGATGCTTGTCATCGTATCAAAATCGATCACATATGTGTTTATGTCATGTAAGATACAGACATGATCACATTTGTGTTCATGCCATGGAAAACACAGACGTGACCACGTGTCTGTTTATGTCTTTGAAGACCTCAACCAGTGCTTGCTCAAGATATAAGCGAGACAAGTACGTTGCATACCAATATGTGATAATCTGGAGAAAGAAGCAACAACATATGTGATCACAATCTTCCAGTAATAATTAATAGTTTGACTCGAAAATACTTTACTTTGTGTGCCACTAGGCCAGGCACTGGTTTGTTTTTTTTTGTGTGTGTGTGTGTGTGTGTGTGTGTGTGTGTGTGTGTGTGTGTGTGTGTGTGTGTGTGTGTGTGTGTGTGTGTGTGTGTGTGTGTGTGTGTGTGTGTGTGCGCGCGCGCGCTTGTGGCTGCTGGTGGCTGCTTGTACTAGTCTGGAGTAGTCTGGACTAGTGTTGTATTGCGAACCCACTGAGAGCCCACTCATACCGCAGTTTAACATCATGAATACTCATACACATTATGCTCCGATCCGACCAGTCCTTCTTTTATCAGCTTAATGCCAAGCTCCAGCTAAAAGAGGTGACAGGCGAAATGAGGCTTAATGTCGTTGCGTTCAAGATTATCGTATTTATACTTGCATGCACGTGTGTGTGTGTGTGTGTGTGTGTGTGCATTGAGAAACGTTAGCGAGATTGACTGCATGATCGTTCACAAATTTCCTCTCTACAGATGATAGTGAACAAAACGAAAAAATGCACATCCAAACTATCGTAATATCGACTAGATCCTAGGCTGACAGTGACAGTCTCAGCAATCTTTGAATTAACCTCAGTGTCTATTTGACACATCTTTAATCACCTTTGAATGACCGGCCAATTGATCAATGATGACTAAAACGGGTAACCGCCACAGGTTCATTAACATCTTCCGAAATCTCTCCCGTCACGTTGATCGTGTCGGCCATTTTGAAGTCTTGAACTTGATGTAAATGTATTACGACGCGCTGCCATTGTGACTGACTTACTGAGGTAGTTCTTAACAGACCTTTCTCATCAAATGGTGATATTATTATAGAGTGAAATATAAGTCTGTATTGTAACTTGGAATAAAGTGGATAGAACTGGCAAGGATATGAAGTGACTGTTATTTCATGCTCCAATCACCCATCTGACCAAGACACCCATTGCATGGTTCATACAGATATTAAGTACTGAAATTGAAAGCTTTTCAGTACCTTAAAACTCAGATAACAGCCAAAGTAAATCAATAATTTCTTAAGTTTAGAATACTAATACCCTAAAAGGAGTTGTACAGTGCCGTCATTTGCATGGCTGGCTGAGATATATTTTGTATTTGAAGTAACTCTTAATCTAAAATTAAAAAATAGATCTCAAGAATGACCAAGTGACGAATATGCCATTTAAACAGTATATTTAATAGAAGAGAAATGACAACAGAAAATATTATTTGTCCAAATACTTTTAGAAACAAGTAAATGTCATTAGATACGAAGTGAATGCTTTTCAAGGTATACTGGGGATTTAAAGAGTTTTCAAGACAAACACTAAACAACACAAAACACATTAAACATGATAGTACCACACCATTGTAAGTAGTTCATTTGTAGTGAACAGTTTCACATGTCAACAACGATTGCTGTCAGCAGTGCTATTTGAATTGTTACTAGTTGAATTCCAAGTTAAAATGCAATCGATCCACGGGGCAGGATATGCTCACCTTTCCGCGAACACCTGGTTTCATCAATATTTGATAAAGAATCACAAACACATGTCCATGATATTGTTTGAATCGTACAATCGACTCTGCTTTTAGCAGAGATTTCTGATGATTAAGGAAAGGGTTTTGTCGCTTTAATTGTTATGATTATGGAAATGCTTTTTGTTGCTTTTATTGAAAATGTTCCATGGCAGTCGTTAAGTCACACACCCTCTTCCTCTTGCCTCTTCTTAATTGCACCTTATGTCACCCAGTGCTTGGGACCACTGTCAGCACAAATATAGTGTTCTTGTACTTAGTGGGGCGGTCGGGTAGCCTAGTGGTTAAAGCGTTCGCTCGTCACGCCGAAGACCCGGGTTCGATTCCCGACATGGGTACAATGTAAGGAGCCCATTTCTGGTGTCCCCCGCCGTGATATTGCTGGAGTATTGCTAAAAGCGGCATAAAACCATACCCACTCACTCTTGTACTTAGCTGTCAAGTATAGTACAACCGATGTACGAACTCTCTTGAGTACCCATATGGTTAGGAATATTACCATGCCCCATCTCATCGCACCTTATATATCTGCAAGACAGTTACGACCACCTAACAGCCATTCACTGATAGCACCAAGATCGCTGGGAAACATATCCTGTTCTTATTCTGAAGCAGTACAAACTGTCACTGGAGCTCAGGACTTCACCTTCAACAAGACGTCATAGGCAGTTGCATGGACATACTCGAAAAGGGTCAACGCAACGTTACGTTGCAAACGGTTTGGGTGTCAGTCATAATGTGATCAGCAGAGGACAGAATCGATACCAGACGTTTGGATCAGGTACCCAGGGACATGCAGATGGTCAACAGCATTCCACCACACTGGAGGAAGAGAGGTTTCTCCCGATGGCATCATTTCGTGACTGCCATCTCGCTCAGAAAAGACCCGCGGAACACCAGTGGCGTTATTAATTCTACTCAGTGTTTAATATCAGTGCGTAATCGACGGTCGAGGTTGGTCTCCAGTCACGGAGGGCCTGCATTCACTTCCCACTGGCCCAACTGGGGAACGTTTAGAATTGGCTCAAGATCACGTCAATTTCACAGTCCAGGCGTCAGTACTTTTCACTGATGAATCGAGATACAGTCTAGACTACACTGTTCGTCTTGTCCGAGGGTGGCATAGATAAATAGAAAGTTTTCAGGATTTAAACTAGCCGAGCAGCATAACTTTGGGGGAGGGGGGACTCAATCATCACTTGGGGTGGGATCAGTAGAGGTGGAAAAAACGATCTCCATGTCACGATGACAGGTGTGCACTGCACGGATGACATTCGGGATGTGTACGTGGGGTTGTATGCCGGTACAATCGTACTGTATCTTATCCTAATGGAAGATAACGCACGCCCTCGTTGATGCCTACTTAGAGCAGGAGACCATTGTCCGCGTGGACCAGGTCTCAACGCTCTCGAACACATGTAAAACAAGCTGCAGATCGCCCTCTCACGACGCCATGTCCTTCCGGCAACTCTTCAGGAACTCGGCAATGCTTTTACTAAAGAATGGAACAATCTTCCCTCGGGAACCATCCAGATATTTATTTGTAGCATGTGACGACGGTGTCAGGCTGTGATCGGATCATGTGGATTATATACGCGCCATTGTAAGTTGTTTCTGTGGACAATGAATTTGTTTTCGTGATTTGTTAAGTTTCAGTATTTTCAGATACTCCTATTTTGACAGGTAGCCTGACTTCTTATTAGTTACATGTCCTCACACAATATTGTGTTTGGCTAACAGATGCATACAATACGTATTACCTTTCAAAGTGATTATTCTTAGCAAACTTTGAGTAGCATATTTCAGTAAATTAGACTTGTGATCTGTGGTGTGAAACTTAATAAATAATCATCTAGGAAAAGCATATTCGAAAACGGCCATAGGTCATATACTAAAATATCACTCCGAGTGCAAATTATACTTTGATCATTAAGAAGAACACATAATATGTCATCGGTTTCAAAATGAAAAGTATTTTCTACAATTTTATCCACTCGAAAAGGTTTTTCGGGGAACTGCCAGGGGTTCCGGATGCACTGATGCTGCAAGTGCCGTCATCATTCAAGATGGTGGACGTGAAGTCGGAACGGTTGCTTTGGAAACACAGCAACGCACACTCCAGACAAGCCCGACGCAGGGACTTGGAAGTCAGCAGATTCTTATCTCGCCTGACAAAGAAGGTTCCCAGAAATGTACCTTGGAAGAAGACAAAGAGGAGTCAGCAACAGACATATCATTTATAAAACAATATTAAACAAAGGTCTTTCTGGGTGTGTGCCCAAATGGTATTGTCTCTCGGAGTGTGCTTAACTGATCTTGATTCATTGATGCCACATTTCACCTTTTGGGGTCCTTTGTTTTTGGCTTGCCATCGAACATACTTGTGTCAACAATATGTTCACCTAAAATCTCATGAATCAGTTTTGTGATAGATCTTTGACGCACTGAATGTTTAATCTACATTGCGTAATGTCCAAATATTAATGTAATACATGTATGTATTTGTTTCTGCTCGTATTGGCATAGTAAAAAAGGGTAATTTGGCCAGGAAGTTTTACATAAGCTTCATGTGTATCGATGATCTCATATCGTTCAATAACCGTTCAATAACCATCAAATAGCCAATTCCCGTCAGGTGATTTACCCATCTGAACTAGCAATAAAGATTTCAAAAAGTTCATTACATTTCCAAATTTGACACATCGGTAACAGGTGATGTCTGATGCGGTTCCCTCTTTTGACTCGTGCCATATGTGCCCATGTTGGTGTTTTTTTCGGGGAAACAATTGACTTGCCTTTGCATGTGTTTGTGACGGGTGCCACCAGTGGGGCAGGATTCGCTCACCTTTTCGCGAACACCTCGCATCATCACTATTTGATAAATTTGATATTTGATATTTGATTCATTAACACATGCTCATGATATAGTCGGAATCGTACAATCGATTCTGCTTTTGGCAGACATTTGTTATGAATGTTTAAAAGGATTTTGTCGCTCTTATTCAGTAATACAAACAATGATGATGACGACGATGATGATGATAATGAGGGTAATGAAAATAACGTTAAGAGTGCTGTGTCTACCAGAACTATTATATTCTTTTGGGTATTTCTAAAAAAAGATCCATTAATGATGATGCTTTGAAATACTTATCCCTTCTGACGGCAAAACCAGTACAGTCAAGAAGGACATGGTTGACTGTGATTCTCTGATCACGAGGGATACAAATGGAGGATCCTCACCTTTGAATCAGTATGTACATATTTTAGAGCTGATCATATAGCCTTTGATTCTGCTGTAAACATTGAACTGTTATTTGGTTCTGATCCAATGTGTCGCTCATTAATATGAAAAGGGTATTGTCACTTTTACTTACACTATGATGGAAATATAGTTACTGCCAAGCGTTTAAAGCCTTGGACAGTAACATTAACACTTTGTCATTTTGCTCTTTAAATAATCGAATTGAACCAGACAAAACAGTGACAGCTGAGCAGCTATCCATAGCATGGGGAATGATAACAAGCAAGGCTGACCACCCGACACCCATTCTAGTCAGCTATTACAATTGTAAGGTACTGAGGGTCTATTCTCAACCAGAATAAGAAATAACTTGTGCCTACCTGTAGATGCAGTTGTGGTCACCTCGGTAGACGTTGTAATTGTGGTGGTGGGTACAGTGGTGGTTGAAGTAGTCGAAGTCGCTAGGTTCATAAATAAAACATATTAGAAATATATTCACAACCACGCTGAATGCTAACCAAGACATTATCGAGACATTACCAGTAACATCAGTATTCCAAAACGTTTTTCGTGAACACCTGGTGTCATCGCTGATTTTCACTGCTATTTGCGTTTGACGCCCAAATGGAACTGTTTTGGCAGATAATTGAGACTAGTTATTCTGTGGCGTTGATGTTTTATCTTTGTATCCCTTCTTCCCGGGGATCGAATGTTTAAACTTCTCCCTGGTAAGCTAAACATTAAAAAAATCACTTGTCCGAAGACAAATTCTACTTTTCCAGATTATTGATCCACAATGATATTTTATCAAAAATGAAAGACATAAATGTATTTCCAACCACGAAGAATGAATCTAGCTGTGATCAAACGTAAGCCATACGTTATCATCAGCCAATTTGTCCTGCCACTACTCCTGAAAAGCTTATGTCACGTGGTAACTGATCACCCAATCAGAGAAAGTGTCCTAAAGCGCGATCGAAATCAGAATAAGGAAGTAAATAAACAATGCACTGCATCAATTCGAGTCGTCATATTCGCTATGTTTACGCTCTTCTAAGCTGCATTTGGTACGTGTTTCGAGTATCTTATCACAATTGACTTAAGGTCGGCTACATTTTACATTCATCTGCGGAAAATAAGGCCTATATTTCTGTGTGTCGGGTGATCTCATGTAACGAACGAGTCGGATAAGTCGATATTGCTTTTCCACACTCTTGCTTCTACCAGAATTTAGGCGGTAGGGTAGCCTAGTGGTTAAAACCTTCGATCGTCACGCTGATGGCTCGGCTTTTATTCCCGATATGGGTACAATGTGTGAAGCCTATTTCTGGTGTCCCCCATCATGATTTTGGTGGAATACTGCTGAAAGCGGCCTTATAGTAGCACCGGTGATTGGTGTCGTTTAGGTATATATCACGAGAATATATCGTGAGAAGTCAGTTATCAGCCATAATAATAGTCCTCACCTCTTGAAAAATTATCACGAAATATCGCGATTATTAATTAACGAAGATCGGTGCTTGTGTGTTGCGTGTGTGCCACGTTTGCCTCGACGTGATAAAACCAAACTGACTCACTATCTACATGTGACAGGATTTCACACAGCCGAAAGTGGTGCAAGTCCTAGTATTTCGATGAAGGTCGAGAGCACGAGCATTGTGCTCATGAACCAAGAAATCAGGGCTATCTGGGATTCCAAACTATCCCTTAAACGACGGCGCCATCCGTGACATCCCCACCCATATCCCAAGATCATTACACCTCCACATCCACACATCCCTACACCAAACCCCTGGATTCACAGCACAACTATATAATCATATACTTACTGATCATGATGCCTCCTCCGCCAGCTGTGTACAGCGTGTTGCCAAGCTGTTCGTGGACGGGTAGTTCTAGGTGATGGAATGTGCACTCATGATGTCGACTGGACCACCCCACGGCAGCACAGTTGGAGACGAGTTGACACAGCTCCACACATTCCTCTCTGGACAGGACATTAATTTTCAGCCCAGCGGGCATTTTTTTATTCTGGAGTTTCTTGAGGGGGACAGCTGTGAAATAAATGTTTCGTGACTACAGGAAACAGCAAGTGAGAGAGCTTGAACAATATTATATGACGGCGCGTCGACATACTGTTGGCTAAACGTTCATAGTGACGTGACAGCCTCCGTGGTCAAGCGGATAGAGCTTCTGATCTGAGAGCGGAAGGTTGGTAGTTTGATGTTTAACTCTATTTCACCTCATCACCTCACCTAACAGTAAAGTTGTAAATGTTGATTACTTGACATCGACGAACATATGCATAATACAGGCTGTAATTCACTATGCCAAGATTCCATCTTTCAACAAAAGAGCATCGCCCAGCACAATCAGCAGCTAAAACATATTCACCGTTTGCTCACGAACAAATAATCGTTATCATATGATAAAGATCTTGGAGTAATGAAAGACAGAAACCAGTGTACATGAGGAGGTCTGTAATGCTATTTACCCAGACAGTTAGGGTACTTTCTACCAATGATGCACTGCTCTTAGTGCATATTACGTGAAGAAATACAATTTGTTTTGGAAAATAATGGACAATTTTCTTTTGATTAGGGTTCACAGAAAAAAAATGTTCACTGGACTGAAGTCCTGAAAAGTATGTTGCCTAATTTCTCTCCTTCAGTTTACTTACACCCGTGAAGATCCGGGGTAGAATATGTCTTCAGCAACCGATGCTTGCCGGAAAAGGCGATTATGCTTGTCGTAGGAGGCGACTCACGGTATCGGGTGGTCAGGCTCGCTGACTTGGTTGATGCATGTCAACTTGTCCCAATTGCTCGGACCGATGCTCATGACATAAATGACTGGATTGTCTGGTCCAGACTCGATTATTTACAGACCGCCGCCATATAGCTGGAATATTCACGAGTTTGGCTTAAAACAACAAACCAACCAACTTACACCCTCGCCACATTTTGCACCCTGCACGCTTCTGTAGCTGTATCAGATGTTCTACTGGATGCCAATATGTTTTGCGCAAGTTCTTGAAGTCGTGGAACCAACACTCATTACGACCAAAAACCCAATCGACCTTATTGTTTCTGGTTGTATTGAGGACATTTCCAACACACTTCATAAGAGTTTGTGCGTTTTGGTCTTTTCTCCCACTTGGCGAACTCCCTCCAGCGTTCAACACGACACATCTTCTTGAAAAGGACATACATTGACTTGACATTTTGATACCAGAAGTAAGCATGCAGGGTTAAAATAACGCCGCGTTTAAAATTATTTGATTTCTCTGGCGGCGTGTCAGTTTAATGACAGATGAAAGTAAAGATTGACACAGCTCGTAAGCGTTTGAAACTTTGGTGAGACCCACGAACCCACATATGGTGCTGCGGATCATTGTATCGGGTAATCGAACCCTTGATTAAACGACACCACAATGTGCAGCAAATTGCTAACAGCGTAATTAATCAGCAGGTAGAAAAGGACGGACAAGGAAGTGACCTTTTTGACGAAATTCCTTCTTCATTACTTGAACATCCCCTTGTTTGAGTTTGTGTTCGGTCCCTTGCCACGACTGATCGTGAATTGTACATAGACGTCTCTCAGCAAGCCACGTGTACGCCTGACACGTGCTGCTAAGAACACAAATGGTCTTGCACTCTTCAAGCCTGGTCACATACTCCATTTGTAGGCCTCCAAACAAGATGTGACCCGAATCGACTTCAAGGCTTTCATCATCTGATTAATAGAACCATAGGATACAATTCATAATCAATCAGTCGTTTGTAGAAATGGCCCCCGGCGCGCAAAACAAGTAATGAGTGTGTGAGTGAGTGTTGTTTAACGCCGCACTCAGCAATATTCAAGCTATATGACGGCGGTCTGTAAATAATCGTGTCTTGACCAGACAATCCCGTGATTGATATCATGAACATCGATCCACGCAATTGGTATCGATGACATGCATCAACCAAGATATATTGATTACATATATTTAGTATATGAAACATAATAATATCAATTAATGAGAATATTTGAAACTCCCACAGAGAAAATGGTTTCAGTAATACAATGGATGACGATGATGATGATGATGATGATGATGACGATGATGACGATTATGATTATGAAAGAGTTTGTAGTTAAACAGTGCGGCGTTAAACAACCGATTATTTACACAGACCGTGTTCAAAGCGGCGTTAAGCCCATATCACCTACTCTTATCGTCCTTACAAGTGAATACAGATGTTGGAAGAATGAAAGTCTTTTACCTATGATGTTGTTGCAGGGTGTCTTCCTGAATGTTGCACAGTCGCCCAGAGGTTGGGAGATGAGGTTCATTGAACTGACGAGGCATTGCTTTGTTTGCGGTATCCACTGTATAAATCTGCACGGTTTGCCGCGCTTAACCAGACAGTCGTTTATACATTCCAGTAAGTCTTTGGAAACTGCCTTATCATGGACCGTGGATGAGCATACCTTCATACCCTCCGGATCCATGCACTGTGGCGCTACAAGAACAGAGTGAGTGAGTGAATAAGTGAGTTGGGTATAACGCCGGTTTTAACAGTATTCCAGTTATATCACGCCGTATAAAAGAACAGAGAAGCATTGTAGTACACTAATATATATGATTTTGTTGTTTTGTTGTTGTTTAACACCACACTCAGCAACATATCAGCTATAAGACGACGGCCTGTAAATGATTCAGTCTGGATCAGACAATCCAGTGATTTACTTCATGAACATCAATCTATCAATTGGGAAACGATGACTTGTATCAACCAAGCGAGTCTGACCATCCTGTTCAGTTGCTTCTTACGACAAGCATGGACTGCTGAAGACCAATTCTGACCAGGATCCTGACGGGGTTGTCGCCTCGGTGGACAAGTTGTGAGGAGAGGTGAGGTGAGGTGAAATTGTGTTTAACGTCGCGTCCAAGATTATTGCACTTATATAGCGACGTGCATGCACGTGTGTGTGTGACTTATGATTTAAGGCTTACGAGTGTAATGGCCATGTGTATGCTGCATTCACACCAACGCGACATATTTTTCATTCTTTTAGAAACAAGGAATTAAAGTGTTGTTATATGCCACGTACAGTCGTCGCTGTTCCTGTAGGAGACCGTGTCTGCACACTATGCAATTCATCTGCTGTTGGAGACGAATTTCACTATCTTTTTAGGTGTGAAGCACTTCTCCAACAATGACTTCTTTACATCCCACAGAATTGTTACATTTTTCATTGCTGGTGATATCCATCCAAATCCCGGCCCAAAAGAATATAACACAACCAATGATATAAGCATATTCCACTTGAATATTAGAAGTATCCGGCATAAATTGACTAAAATCTACGATGATATCTGCGATTTCGATGTGTTATGCTTCACTGAATCTCACCTGGACGCCAACATTCAGTCAGCCGACCTGCTCCTTGATCTCTTCCATCAACCTCACAGGAGGGACAGGGATTGTTTCGGAGGTGGTATAATTGTATATTTTTCTAATTCACTTAGTGTCAAGCATAGAACAGACTTGGAAGTAATTAATTCTGAATCGATGTGGTTTCAAGTTTATTCACCACAGTACAGTTTTCTGTTTTGTGTCACCTATCGCGCACCCAACACCCCTACCACATATTGGACTGTTCTTGAGCCCATGATAGAAAACTGCACTTGATGTTTCCCGTGACATCGTCCTTGTTGGTGACCTAAATGAAGATCTTTTCAATACGAATATCCAACACTTACGTTACATAATAACACGCAAGAACCTACGCAGTATTATAAATGAAGCAACACGAATTACAACACATTCGGCTAAACTTATTGACCCTATTTTTGTAAGTAATGATTGTAATTGTTCCTTATCCGGTGTACTAGATTTTAGTTCTGATGTATCGGATCACAGGGGAGTTTTCGTGTCGATTAGTGTATATCTTAATATAAAAAAGTCATATAGAAAAAAAGGTATGGCTCTACAAACAAGCTAACTTTTCTAAAATGAATATACAAATTAAGAATAAAAATTGGAACGAGTTTTTTAAAGAATGTACGGACGTTAATGAAATGTGTGACAAATTCCACTCCCAACTAAAAAATTACATGCACGACTATATACCCTCTAAGTGTGTAACTATTCGCCCAACGGACAAACCATGGTTTGATAATGACCTCAGAAGGGAGCGTCGCTCTGAGACCGCTATCGAAAAAAGGCATTACGAACTGGTAAACTAAGCGATCTTGTCAATTACAAAAAGCAAAGAAACAAATTTAATAATATGAAAAAGATAGCCAAAGAAAAATACTATAGCAATATTAACGGCTTGTTGGAAACACATCTGAACTCAAACAGTACCAACTGCTGGAATTCTTTTAGATTCATCATCAAAAAAGCTAATTCATCAGCATGTATCCCCCCTCTGTGTACCGACCTTAATAAACCCACAGCATTTACCGATGTCGAAAAGGCTGACGTACTCAATAATTATTTTGTTTCTATTTGTGATGTTGATGACGGCAATCAACCGCTTCCGGATTTCAGTCAACGTTGTGAAACCTCTCTCTCGGATATCACAGTTACTGAATCAGAAATAAGCGATCTCATAAAGTCACTACCATGCAATAAATCAAGCGGACCAGATAATATAAACCCTAGACTTTTAAAACCCTTGGCTGACAGTATTGCCATCCCATTATGTATAACTTTCAATCGATCTTTAAAAGAAGCAATCTTTCCAGAAAACTGGAAACTTGCTCACGTCATGCCATTATACAAGAAAGGTACCAAAGCATTACCTTCAAACTACAGACCAATTAGCTTGTTATCTATTCTTGGAAAACTACAGGAGAGATTAGTTTTTAAACGCTTATACAACTATTTCAATATGAATAGTCTCCTGTACAAATATCAATCCGGCTTTGTACCAGGACGTCGACATTCTACTACCTCACAATTAATAGAAATTTATAATGATATTGTCTCATCTGTCGACAAGCACGAATACTATTGTATGGTATTCTGTGATATATCGAAAGCTTTTGA